ATCTGACCTCCAAGAACACTGGTAAGTCCTCTCGCTCCCTCTATTGTTCTAATTATAACTTCCGTGAATGGGTAAGTCCTCTCGCTCTCTCTATTGTCTGTCTTTGTCTGTATATTTGAATACTAAAAAGCAAAAGCTTTAATAATTAAAAACAAATGTGAATCGCAAAACCCACCTGAAAATTAAGAGATTAGCTGCTGAACAAGGTGTTTTTGCTGTATATAGAGTTCGAATGGAAGAACTCAGTTTGTGCGTATGAAGGGAGGGTGAGGGGATTTTCGAAATTCATATATATACAGATTTGTATACTGTTGAAGGTTTGATTTGAATTAATGTAAGGAATAGACTTACTGTCATGATGAAGTTTTCGTTTGGTTTTGATTTCTGTAATGTTTTAGTTGGATGAATTTGGTTGAGATTTGGATATATTTTTAAATTTTAATGACAGTCTTTCTATATAGTTTGCTTAGCTTATTTAGTTATTTTCATGGCCTAACAGAAACATTATCTTCAATAGATATGTTTTCTTTAGAGCAGTGCTGAATCAGCAGGATAAGAAAAATATGTTTGTAGTGTTTCTAATCATAGTTTCAATGTCAACTTATTTTTTAAGATTAGTAATGCAGAAGCTTGTGAAGCTTGAGGAATTAGCCTTAGCATCTGGGGTTTGATCCCTAACTTTTCGAGCAAAAAGTTTTAGGGGATGAAGTATGTTACTTCTCTTCCATTGCAATTAAATAGATCCACTTACTATTGAGTAGTTATGCAGGGATCCAAGTATGATAGAAATACTTCCATAAATCAGCGTGTCTTTGATTCAAGAGAAGTTAAGTTATTTTTCTTCAATCTGGGAATTTCGATGTTCATATTTTGTATGGGTATTTCTGAAATAGAAAAATTAAGATTTTCTGTATTTGATGCAGTTCTGTGTCATCTGAGGTTTCAAGTGATCTTATAATTCAAGTGAAGGGAAGCAGATAATTACTTCACAAGGTGAGTTTTCTCAAAAGGTTTGTACACTTCTGAATATATAATTACCACTCTATATTCTTTTGGCCGTAGAACATAATTACCACTTTCGAAGGCTTATATGCTGGCCAAAACCCTAACTTTCTCTAAACCCATAGCCCAGAGTGCTCTGTCACCGGAGACTCAAGGTATTCTGTGTTTATTTGATTTACACTACACTATTCAGAACATGCATATAGAGCTTTACATATCTCCTCTAAAATATATGATGCCAAACAAAGTAGCAATATCTTGTATCAATAACAGTAGCAAGCTCTAGACTTCTATATAACAGAATATCGAATATCAATTTGAGGGTCTATCAGAATAATATTTCCATCAGCAAATTTAATAGGCTACCCTCAAACAAATCACTAGCATGAGTACCAATCCAGACAATGAATCGCAGAGTGCTTCTTCAAGTTCATTCGTGGTGCGACCGTGCGAGAGACTCAGACGGGATAGAAGAGAGGAGAGGAGAAATGAGGCTGAGGGTTTCAATTTCATTCTTTTTTCAAAATCTAGGGGGGCACGTGCCCCCCTGGCCACTCCCGGTCCGTCCATGTTTTAAGGTACAACTAGTTTAAACTGCATTTTCTATATTTTCATAAAAAACAATTTCACGTGGTTTTATTGAATTTTTATTTTCCAATTAACATGGAATTGAAATTCCTTCTCTCCTTTCCCTATCAAACGGACTCTAACTGAAATTCTCCTATTTTCCTACCTGTTTGTTTTCCGTTTTCTTATTTCATTTTAAAATAAAATTTAAATTTATAAAATTAAAAATATAATAAGCCTTTGTTTAACAACCATTATTTAAAAACTATTTTTTATACACACTCATTTTTTACCGTACATTCACACAATAAAATATTATGCACATAAATTCAAAACTTTTCTCTATATTTTAATCACATCTCCTCCTAGAAATCAATATTCAAATCATTGTTTTGGCCAAATAGAGGCTAAAAAATAAAGTCGGCACCATACAATATAGAAAATGCAGTTTAAAATAGTTGTACCTTGAAACATGGGCGGACCTGGTGTCATGGGCAGCAGCTTTACTTAAGCCCCATGACCCTATCGCAGCCGCAGTTTGCCCAACTTCGGCCGCACATTGTAATTATTTTATTTCAATTGTAAAATAG